GAAAAAATATATTATTAATGAGGCCTAGATCATTCGGAATACTGTATTCCACATGTAGAAATAAATAACATATCTGCTGATGTGAGAACAGATGCGACGTACTTTTAAATTACGTACGTTTTCAGTACAAGATTCGTTTAATGTGCCGAATATTATAGCAAAATATAAATACATGTGGAAAACACCGTATGAACTAGGACTTCTACTGAAGACATGGAAGACTTGAAAATGGTAGGCCTCTCTCCAACGCTGCCTTTCACATGTGTCGAACTGAATGCAAATAGATGAAATTTGTTATGTTCATTTAGAATTTTAAGTTATATTGAACACGTAGAAACGGTCCAAGCACTCGTTTAATAATATACCACTAGAACTAAATATTACTAAAAGATTATTTGTTTAACACCTTTTTCACAACTTTTATGTCTTCATACTTTTACTTTTACTTTTTTTGACGCAGAATAATCTTAGTATATAGTTCATATATATTAAATATATGTAATGATCGTTCTAAAGTGCTTTCATTTTAAGATCCAGAGCAATTAATCATCGATGCTGGATTCTGGAACACTTCATCGTAAACAGATTTCAAAATTAATAAAATATTTCCAAAGAAGCTTTRATCGGATAAAAAACTCAAATATAGGATTATTGGGGGCTCTTTTTGGATGGATATTAAACGATGCATGAAGCCAACGATATAAAATTTGCATAAGACGTGACGGATGGACCTGAMGTAAGACTAAAAGATTAGAAAGTTTTCTTTCGCTAGAGGAACACGCATTATAAAAATCCGTTTTAAAGAGCATATATTATACAAAAAGGTAAAGAAATAGAGCTTAGCTTTTTCATAGTAAATTATCCACAAGAGTTTGCAGTGTAATAACATATACCTTWCTGATACTAATTGATCAGCTGGCTGAATAACATGCAAAGACCAAATCCAAGATCCTGATATCGTTAATATCTATTAATTCCTCATTAAAGTTCTAAATAAAGCTATCTATATGATAGTATACTCACCCAAGAGTCCTAAGATTAGATATAATATTCGAAGCTCCATGTCTCTTAATCACTGATTACACGAATGTGTGAAAAACAGGTCCATATATTGCTCGAGCGTAATTATTCAACACGTCATTAACAATAGTCGACGTCACTGGTATGACTCAGGAATTGTAAACATCCCAGGGAAGGGGTGTTGGGACATCCCCAGGGGGGTTTAGAGGGCCAAATAATTAACAGTTGCAAAAGTCGGCAAGAATAAACTCTTTTCCTCCTATAGGTGTTCAGAAATAATAATAACAATAATAATAATAATAATAATAAAACAAACGTAGTTTATATTTTTTTTTCGTATCCAGTACTTTATTAGTAGCGAGTGAACTATAGCTCCGGTCTGTGGTTGGAGCGAGTCATGACAGGCCTATTAGTTTCAGTCTGGAGTTTGCTCAGGTTACGGGTAGGTTTTGGTTTACCGGTTTTAATGTGTTTGGTTATTGAGCTGGAAGAGTCAACCGAGTTTATGTTGTTTAGTGTTCATAAATGCTGGTTAATATGCGCTCAGGTTTTCCAGCGAGGTGTTGGTTTATGCGGTGTTTGTGTTCCCATGGGCTTCACCGGTATTAATAGTTTTGGTTTACGAGCGAATGATTGAGCGAGTTTGGTTTGTGCCTGGTTAGATTTGTTTATGCTCATTCAAGTTTCGAGCAACCGGCTTTATGTTTCCATAGGCTGGGCGTTTGGCACTGCAGTTCGAACGTCTTTGGTTGACGAGCGATGGGTTTTGGTGTG